TTAGAAAATATATTTGCAAGAAGTACACAAAAATAAAGTGAGTCATTAATTATTGGTGGGTTTAAACTTTCTTAAATGGAGTTGAAATTTTGTACAAATCAAGAAGATTTAATTGTAACTACCAAATTTCATCTAGGGGACCAAATTAGAATTGAAGTACTCAAGGTCCAATATATCCTTTCTTTAAACAATTAAAAGACATTAATATTTTCCTCATGTGTGAACCCTACTAGCAACCCTATCTAACTCTTTAAGAGAAAAAAAAATTGCCTAAATTTGAGCCTTTGAACCTAATGGCTTAATAATGGCATTGAATTTTGGTTGAGATTTAGATTTTAGCCCTAAAATCTAGAAATAAATTGTAGTTGGGATTTAGATTTAAGAGCTACTCCCAATCCAAATCCCACCTCCTTAAGTTATTTGACATAGTGGTTAGCTATCTAGCTTTAAATGATATGTAGCTTCTTAGTTTAACTTAATTCTAATTGTTCCTCTAATTGGGGTTTGGTTATTTAAGCTATAAATCTTCCTTTCCACACCAATATCCCAAGGAAAAATTTGAGGTTTAAATCTTACTTCAGACGGTAAACTTGCATATTGTTGGATTTGTAATGAGTGCAAATGAAGTCCTATATTGACTGGGAAAGGAAGTGATCCATAGATGGAGACAATTATCTCAATTGGTATGAGGTCTTTTGGGTGGAACCAAAAACGAAGTTGTGAGAGTTATGCCCAAAGCAAACAATATCAAATATCATTGTGGAGATACCCAACTTAGGGGTGTACTTATGCCGTAAGAAATTTAACTTTTTGTGAAGACATGTAGCGACCCTTTTAGCAGAAGAAAAATGTCGTGATGATTGCAATGTAAAATGAGGTAATCTTGCAAAAAGCTTGTGACAAAAAAGAAAAGCATCGCAAACGTTTTGGTGGCGTTTATTTAGTTCAAAATCAAAACGACAATATTTTTGTGGTCGTAAAACTCTTACGTATTATATTTTAGGTTCTAAACTTTGTCTAATAAATTGTTTAAGTTTTTGTGGGTTAATCCTTCATTAACTAGTTAACATCGTCTCAAAACGTGACGCGTGCGTAGGTTTCTATTAAATAATTTACTAAAATTTACTACCAAGGAGAAAGTAGATTTTATGCCAAGCTAAGGAATTAAAAAATAATATTTAAACTTAGGACCAAAATGAAATAAAAATAGAACCTTAAGACCAAAATAACATTTTTTTAAAAAAATATATAGATGTTTCACCTTAAATTATTTAATAAAAAATTGGAAATGTTACACTTTGGTTCCTAAATTTAAAAAATTGACAGTTTAAATAATTCTTCAAATTTGGACGATGGTTCTATTGGTCTATGGAATCACTATTCCATTGGTTGTAAATTTGACTAAGTACCCAAGTTAAATAATGTTGTGGATTTGCTTATATAGTTAATTTTATCTGATGTGACAAATTTACTTAGGTCATTATTTAGTCAATTTTTTTTTTGTATGTCTTAGTGATTCTAGAAACCAATTTGAATAATTTTCCTCAAACCCCATATATATGTGAAAAGTCAAAGATCAAAAAAGTAATTCTCTCAAAATCCTACGTGTTATTTGTACAAGTAATTAAAGTACATTCTAAGTATCAAAATTTTCATTTGTAACTTAAGTTAACGTATAAGGAATGATTTAAAAAAAAATTACAATTTACAGTAAAAGAGTAAATATTGAACAAGGAAGATTACTTGAAGTCGACAATAATCTTATTATAACAAAAAATTAAAATAAAAAAGTTAAATTATACCTCTAACTTAAGACTTAATCTTAGTTTCATAATAATTGTACTTAGGAGTGCTTTTTTTTTTTCCTTCAATATTCTAAAATGTTTTTAACCAGCTAAAAAAAGTTTTCAATTTTTTTTTACTGTTTAACCGCATTTTTTAAAATCTAAAATAAAATTTTATTTTGAATTACTTTTATTAGTATTGTTTTTAAATGTTAATAAAAATATTTTATTTAAAAGCACTACTTTTACAAGCATAAAAAGGGGTGGATTGGCTTGAACTCTAAAAGAAAACTATGTATCCAAAAATTTTAAGATAAACACGTGGTTCTAAAATCATGATTAGAATAATGCAAATATTAANTTCTTTTTTCAATAATGGAGGTAGAAAAAGTGTTCTATTTAAAATATTACTCTAAAAAATATTTATTGTAACAAATTTTCAAAAAATATTGTAATGCAGGAGTTTTATATATTAGTTACATTTGTGTAGGCTAACTTGAAAACTGTAGCTACAACAAAAAGGAAAAAATAAATAAAGACAAATTATTACCATTACAGTCGATCATAATTTACTGATATTAAAAACTTTTTTATTTTTTTACAGTTAAACTGTCGCTGCAAAGTTTTGGTGAATATTTTCTCACGTTAATAAACTGTATTTATTAAATTTATCTTGATGGTAGTGAACTTTTTTCTATTCTATTATCAAAATAATTTTTCCAAAGCGAAGTGTAATTGGCATATACCTCCAATTAGTGAATTTTTATTATCAAGTCTTATTTTTTATTCGTTTTTTTAATAATTTTTTTCAATACAAAAAGTAGGGGAGAGATTCAAACTCATGAACTCTTGATCAGAGATAGATGTCACTTACGCTGAGCATTAACTTTTTTCTTTTTAACAACTTTTAACTATCATAGTTAATTTATTATTATTTGTTAATATAGTAAATTGGGGTATGAGGTCCGAACCTCTAACCTCCAAATAGATGCTAATTACTATTGTGGAGTTATGCTCATGTTATTGTCGTAGTTAATTTTAATATATGAATGACGGTTTTTTTTAAACCATCATGTTTGCTGTTTTCTTGATGGTCAATACAATGACAATATATATATATATATATACACACACCCAAACACCAAACACAGGGACAAAAAAATATGTTTTTGACAATATTTCACCGTCATCTAAAATCAATGTTGTGGTAGTAATATTGTATTTATAAGATGACTCTTTTTTTGAACTTTCAATTCAAACATTAAAGGCTACTTTAATAACTATTAATTAGATTTGGTTTTAATTAAAAGAAAAATGAGAACTTATTTATTAATTGTTTATTTGTTTCATAGTCTACTATTTAATGACATTTATAAAAGTTTAACCAAACTTTAGAACAATAAAAGTTTTTGAAATATTTATTTTTTTGTATCTTTTTAAAAATTAACCAATATTTAAAACGTGGTATATTTTGAATGTCCTAATTTGCCAAGTAAAATCCATGAAAGTTAAAATTTTACTTTAATTGTCAAAGTCTAACACATAGATATTTGAGTTTAAAATGCCCCTTTTATTTAATTTTATTCCATGATAATCACTTCATATAAAATCATCCCAAAACCCTAAATTCATGGCATTAAAGTAAATTCACTTATTTGTAGAACTTTAGTTCATCAAATTTGGAAGGGTGGTGATTTTATTAAATTAGAATCTCCATTTTAGAGCACACAATTTTGCCAATGTAAAAAGGGAAAATTTAGGACTAAGAGAAATTCACATGTCTTTGCAAATGGAAGTAAGAACATGTCTTGTATTTGGAGGAGAATGTTGGAGTTTTAAAGTTTATCAATTTTGACAAAATTTTGCCATTGTTTAAGGTTGTCATCAAATTGTGTGCTTAGATTTCACCTAATTTGATGTCTCTCTATAAAAGTAACAATTTGAGACAGTCATTCAAGAAATTTCTCATTTGGTAATCTTGTTTATAAAAATATTCACAAATGTATCTTTTTATATTAATAACTAGGTTCAATTAAAATTTTTATAAGTTTCTTTTAATTAATAAATAGTTGGTTCGTTTCAGGAAAAAAAATATTAATAATAATAAATAGTTATCTTCACTCCTTATATAAAAGTTGTAAATCTTAGTATTAGTATTTATATTCATATTCGTAATATTTTCTTAGGTTTCATTGATATTTATAGAATAAATAAAAAATATTGTTAATCTTTGATATTAATGTCGAACCCTCTCATTTACGAATATATTAATATATTTTCTTTACCTACAACCATATTTTAAATTTCATTAACATGTCAACATTTTCGTGCATCCTTAAGTTTAACATCCACATAATAGCTATATAGAAAACATTAATGCAATATAATAAAATGTCAATAAAATAAATAATGTAAACATAATATTAGTAATAATGTTTTTTTACTTATTAAAAAGTGTGAAATACTGGAACTAGAAATACTAAATCGTTACCAATGTGAATGTACACAAGACTAAATCATCACGGATTGGCTCGTTGATCCAAATTGACCAAGGTAAATTCTAGAGAATTTAAAGGGTACAAGTCATTTAACATGCTATGAGTTTCCTTGGTAACCAAATGTAGTAGGGTCAAGACACGTGTAAGCTAACTCTCGAACTAAAGTTTAGAGACTAAATCGTCATTTTATCCACATTTCCTTTAACATCTCCATAAAATTGACAACGAGGGTTAAGGTGCATGTAAATTAGCTCCGAACTAAAGTTCAAGAATTAAATCGTCCTTTTATTCCTATTTCCCTTCAACATTTTCATAAAACTTAGGGTTCGAAAATTCCATTTTAAACCTTGATGTCGGTGACAAATGAAAAGAAAAAAAGTGTCATTAGGAAAGATGAGGATAGAGAGAGAGGGAGGGGTAAATTGGTAAAATTGGGAAAACACATTTCAGAGTTTCTTTTCATCTTCTTAAGGTTAGGTCACATGATTACCCAAGGTAGGAGATAATAGTCAGGTGGACATCAGGCTTCCCCCACTTCACAGCTCGACACGTAGCACCTTTCATTCATTTTACCCTCAAATCCCCACCGTCCAATCAGATCCCATCACATCACCGATCCCACCACAACCCCCTCTACACCCGCCCGCACCCTACTACTCCCCACAGCGCCCCCTCAAAAATTAAATTATTTTCTCTCTTTTTTTTTTTTTCTTCTTCCTCCGAGTAAGAGTATAGGTCGACGCATTGGTGAAATATCTGGAAGAATATAAATGGTGACGCACGTAGGTTAGCAAGGAAAGCACAAAAAAGAGGAAAGAAAGAAGAAGGAAAATTTGATTATTATTATTAAGATTTTCTGGGAAAATTTTTGGAGATTGATTTTCCGGGAAATGGGAAGGGGAAGAGTGGAACTGAAGAGAATAGAGAACAAGATCAACAGGCAAGTGACCTTCGCTAAACGGAGAAATGGGCTTTTGAAGAAAGCTTATGAACTTTCCGTTCTTTGCGATGCCGAAGTTGCTCTCATCATCTTCTCCAATAGAGGAAAGCTGTACGAGTTTTGCAGCAGTTCAAGGTATGAGCAATTTCTTTTTCTCTCTTTTTGGATTCCATTTCGGTGAATGTTTCGGCGTTTTTAGCAGTTCTTTTTAACACGGATTTTGGGGTTTCGATCTGCGACTGTTGTATTGAATTCGAATCCCTATTTTTGCGATACTTTCTTTTTGGGTTTTCTCTCTGCTTACTTTCTTTTTTCCCTTTCCATGCTAACAAATTCTCAATAAAATACCTGCGCTCCTTTCCTCACCACGCCATAAGAGTTTTCCTTCTTCTTCTTCTTTATTGGACTCTCAGAAATGGGATTTCGGATTTTGGATTTCGATTTCGTGAACATGGAAACTCAGAAATTAGGGTTTCGATGCCTGCTTCGCATCTCTCTGTTACTGGATGGGAGGCAGAATCGCGATCAATTCAAAGCTCCACTCTCGATTTTCAGTCTGTTCTGATTTCTGAAATTAGGGTTCGTCTTTCTTTCTTTCCACCGCTAATTTAGGGTTTTTTTTTTTGGGTTCTCTCTCTCATTTCTTTGGGTGTTTTTTCCATCTATTTTTCTGTTCCTAAAATTAAATTTTTGAGTTTTTTTTAAGGTCTGGAAATAGAAATTCGAATTTTCGATCTTTTAGAGGACGAAATTATATTTTGGTTGATTCTTCATTTTTTTAAGATTCCTATTTCTGTCCCAAAGAAAAAGCACAAATGGAGTTTTTTTTTTTTTTTTTTCCTTTTCTTTCTCTTTAGCTTCTGGTCCGGATTTGAATCTTTGATCTTTGCAAGATGGTTAGTGATGTCTTTTACTGAGGAAGGCTTAAGTTGACCATAAATGAGGTTTGATTCTGTTTTTATTATTATTTTTTTATTTTTAGTTATGTTTGTTTAGTAATTTTTTTAAGAAAAAAAAAACTTGGTTGAAATCATGGAAAAAAAAAGAAACAAAAAATGGAGACTATTTTTGGTCTTTGAAATTTGTCTCCGATTTAAATGGTTAATAATTGGTGAAAGGAAAAAAAAATAGTGAGCTTTATTAGTTTCTATTTTTCACTGTTTTTACAAGCGAAAGTAATAGTTAAATTATTATTGCCTATATTCAAGTGGTAAATAATTCATTTTGTGAAAGAAAGTTAACATGAATTTTGTACTAAAAAAATAAGAGAAATAATTCCATGATTTTGTAATGGACTTCTAAGATCTCACAAATGTTTTTAACGAATTAATTAAGAGATTATAATTATAAATTCCTCTGTTAGCAATCTCTACTGAAATTAAAATTTTTAAAACTCCTGCGAAAAAATTAAAACCACGTAAAAAAAAGCACCGTTGATTTTGAGGGGATAGGTGGATTTTAACACTTAATTTAAAATTTAAATTAATTACCATTTTTTAAATAGTGAATTGAATTTGGTCAAATCGAACATAGCTCAAGTGGTTAAGACACTTATGTCTAATTAGAATGTTATGAGTTCGAACCCCACCCCACAATGTTGTACGAAAAATAGTGAATTGAATTTGTTGTTTTTAATTAATTATTTAGAAATTAAATATTAACATAATTTGTTGTTATTATTATATGTGGAATCCAGCATGCTCAAAACTCTTGAGAGATACCAGAAGTGCAACTATGGAGCACCAGAGCCAAATGTTTCCACAAGAGAGGCCTTGGTAAAATTACTCTGATTTTATATTAAATTATAGCACAAATTAGAAACTTTAAAAGATATTTAATATTTGTTGTTATTATACCATTTGTTTTGTTTATCATTTTTTTCGTTAAAAAATATTCATAACATTTTAGCCTAATTTAAAAAAACAAAAGAAAAATTCATTTCTAATAACTACATTCTTAATTTTGCCTGGTTTGTTAAGATAGATTACAAAACAAATACAATATTTACATTAATTCTAAAAAGGCAACATTGTTTACAACCATCGATTTTTATTGATCACATGGTTTTGAACACTATATCCAAATTGGAATTTCCAAATTATGTGTGAATTTAAGGAAAGTCTAGATATATAAAAGTATTTGCAATTACTTTTTAAGTTTAAATACTATTACATTATTTTTGGGTTTAATGTCCATATACTTTCAAAAAGTTTGTTTTATGCCAAACCAAACATAATTCAAGTGGTTAAGGCATCTATTTCTGACCAAAAGGTTTTCAGCTTTTATTTATTTCAGTCTCTGTACTCTTGAACCATTCATTTTGATCTATGTATTTTTTAAAATGAATAAAAGTACAATAATCAAAATGAATAGAAATCAAAAGTACATGGATCAAAATTATATTTGAGAATAGATTTAATTGAAACACAGTCATTGATTAGGCTCCCGTTTGATAGCAAATTTATTTACAGTTGAATAGCAAGTTTAGTCCATGAAGTTTTGGAATTGTGCTCCTAATCTTTAAAAAATTTCTAATGGGTCTTCCAACCTTAAATATTGTGTTTAAATTGATCTTAAACATTAAAAAGTATGTAGTCAGCTTTTTAACTTGAATTTTTAAAAATTCAGTGACCTATTCGACGGAATATGAAAAAGCCAAAAACCTATAAAACACATAATTGTGTGAATGGGTTCCTAAATTTCAAAAATGTCTAATAAGAAATATAATTAAAAATTCAAACACTAATAAGATACTCTTTTAAAATTTATAGACATATATTAAAAAGACTCCAGCAATCTATTAGACAGTCAGGATTCTTCCGCATGATTTACAAAATTTTAGTTCGATAAAATAAAATAAAAGATGAAATTGTTATGGAAAAGAAGTTGAATTTATGAAATTGTTATTAATTTATTTCATTGATGTGATGGGATAATATTTATAGGAACTGAGCAGCCAGCAGGAGTATTTTAAGCTTAAAGCTCGCTATGAAGCTCTGCAACGATCCCAGAGGTAATAACCCTCGACACTCTGTATTGCTTCACTTTCCTTTTTTGGTCATAAATTCAAACTACATTAATTTATTCCTTCACTTTCCTTTTTTAGTCATAAATTCAAATTATATTAACTATTTTAATTATAATATTAAGGTCAAATGATTTTTGTTATGCGCCAAAACGAGAACCAAGAGGTTGTGAGTTCAGTCCACACCACCACATGTTGTACTAAAAAAATGATTATTGTTTCGTTGAATTAGTTATAATATATAATAAGTTGATCGGAACACTCAAATTTAAAATAAAAATTATTTGAACTCTTATTATGCCAAAAGAATCATTTTGAATATCATAATGGTTATTTCATGTCAATATAAACATAGTCCAACAGTAATTGAGGCTAAAGGTTCAATTCCCCACCCCTCTAATTTGTTGTACTTAAAAAATAATGGTTTTTTCATGTTCTTTTTTTTTAACATTAAAATTGGAAATAACTAGTGCAACAAAGCATCAAAAAGAAAAAGTTTTGAAGTATATAGACTAAATCAACGCAATGTTAAATCACTACTCAAGTGGTTATTAATATTAATTGGGTAGGAAATGATACTACAATATTTCGAACATAGAACTTGTTTTGATACCATTTAAATTACTATTGAACTCAAAAGCTTATGCTAAAGGATTTCAATAAATTTAATCATTTATCAATACTTTAATACATATTGAAAAATTGAAACTTATAAACTTAAAACCACATTTAACTTAAAACCACATTTATTAATTAAACTAAAAAAGGTGGAAGCATAGAAAGTCGAATGACGAGATTTGGTCTTCCAAAGTCTAGATAGGCCACGATTTTTCTTATGATTTCATCAAGTTTCTCCATCTTTACGTAGAAGAAGCAGTTCCCTCTTAGATGGGGATGTAAGAAACGTTCGTGAAAAATACGCTATTCGACATTTTGGAGACCATAATCCCTTTGTAATTGGCCAAAAAATCATTCATCAATTACCAGCTTTTATTATTTCTAATTTGACCCCTTGTCAAATCATTAATTAATTTACATTATGTACACGTATCCATTACTTTTCTTGGTTTAATAAAATAGCAACGACAGATTAAATAATTACATGTGTGTCCCTATATTATTAAAAGTTATAATAACAAATTCTTGAGAGACTAAATTTATAATTTAATATTTTATTTATTATTACGTTGGAGAAAGATAAGTGGTAGATTTTGATATGTGTAATTGAATTGATTAGGAACCTATTGGGAGAAGACCTTGGCCCATTGAGTAGCAAAGAACTTGAATCACTTGAAAGGCAGCTTGATATGTCACTTAAGCAGATCAGATCAACAAGGGTATGCTTCTTCAAAATTATATATAGCTAGTTTTTCTTTCAATTCCTTATAATTTTTTTTTTCCAAAATTTCAGACTCAGTACATGTTAGATCAGCTCACCGATCTTCAACGTAAGGTACAAGAAGAAACTTGTAGAACTTTCTACCTTTTAAATTTCTTCTGATTTAAATTCTATTTTGATCTTTTAACTTTCGTGTTTGTTTTATCGTAATCCTTAAATCTTTAAAGGTTCTACTTCAATTTCTGAACTTTACGTAAAAGAGAAAAATGAGTCATCAGTGTCAATGTTACTAGTTGGCTTTAGTTCTTACAACTAAATTTACATGAATTACTTGATTAGTAGAAGTTATCATTTGTTTGATTATCTATAATGGGTTAAGTTTGATTTTTTTTGTTAAACGATCAATAAAAAAAAAGAAAAAAAAAGATAAGAACTAAAGTAGTTAGCTTTGCACTGAAGGGAAAAGAAAATCATTTTAGTTCTTATCATTACTTTGCAAGAATTATCAATATTCATGAGATTCTATCTCAAAGCTTAAATAAATTAATTGATAATGAAATGAGTAGTCTACTTATATTATAAACTCTTGTCAGGTCTCTTATCTAATATGCCCCTCAAGATGGTGCCTCTAATCTCATTTTTTGACTGGATGCTTGTTTAAGCTTTTCGACTTTAATACCATATCGATATTCAGATTCCAATCTCTAAACTAATTGGCTAGTGATCAGAGGAGTGACTCACTTATATTATAAACCTTTGTCTAACCTAAATTACTTAATAGAAATTTGATGGAGCATCTCTTTGTCTTCTTTTTTTTTTCAAACAAATTTTAAATTTCAAATAATTAACGCCCTTTTCCATGAATTATTTAACCAAAACTTGATAGGCATGTTTTTTACTCGCTTATCTGTAGTGAGTCGGTAGTCAAATTTTGAAATGAGTACGAGTTTTCTTACTTTGCCCCTAAAATTTAAATTTGTTTTTTCTTGTTGAACTTTCAGGAGCATCTTCTTAACGAAGCAAACAAGACTCTGAAACAAAGGGTATAAAAAGAAAAAGAAGTTAAAAGCTTAGAAAGATTTGGTGGTTTTGTAATTTGGTTGTTAATTTTTGAATTTCAGTTAGTAGAAGGATATCAAGTAAATGCTCTCCAATTGAACCAAAGTGCTGATGATATGATGTATGGAAGACAGCAAGCTCAGCCTCCAACTGATGCCTTCTTCCATCCCTTAGATTGTGAACCCACCTTACAAATTGGGTAAATATTCTTCTGTTCTTTGCCAAATCTTTAAAGTTTTTTTGAGCTCATTTGGCTCAAGATTTTCTTAAAGCTTGAATTTGTGTAATCTGTATTTTCTGAGACGTCTAGGTTTGGGTAGAACTTGTTTGAATTTGCTTAGAAGAATGCGTTAGCAGATATCTAGGTTTATGCGGTCTATGTTTTGTTTGTCACTGAAAGTTAGGCTTATGTAGTTTTATAGCTTGTATGAATTCATATAGTTTGTGTTGAGAAGCCTACGTTTATGTAATATCTGTTGGAATTTGTGTGAAAGAATGCGTTACAGAAATTTAGGTTCATGTAGTCTAGACTTATATTGCAGGTTCGTTATATATAAAAACTTAGGTTAATTAATAATATAACTATGCTTATGCATCACTAAAATTTAGGTTATTGAAACCTACGTTTGTGTGCAGTTTTAGATTTTGTGTTTGAATTGTGTGTATTTTGTGTTTGAATTGTGTGTTGAGAAGCCTATTTTTATGTCTTATGTGTTTGAATTTGTGTGAAATAATGCGTTATAGAAATTTAGATGAATTAATATAATCTATTACGCTTGATCGTGGTTTGAATGGATGACTGAAATTCAGGTTTATATAGTTTTATGGTTGTTGTTTGAATCCATATAGTTTATGCTTACATTGTGTTTGAATTTGTGAAAGAATGCATTATAGAAATTTAGGTTTATATAGATACTTTGATTGCGAGTTCGTTATAGAAACTTAGGTTAAATTAATGTAATATATATTTGAATGCGGTTTGAATGTATCACTAAAATTCAGATTATTGGAACATATATGTTCATTTGTAGTTTTATAGTTTGTGTTTGAATTGTGTATTGAGAAACCTATGTTTATATCGTGTGTATTTGAATTTGATTGCGAGTTCTTTAATGTAATCTATGATTGAAATCTAGGTTTATATAACTTTATAGTTTTATATAGTTTGTGTTTGAATCCATATATTTTGAGCTTGCATTGTATCTGAGAAGTTTATTTGTTTTCCTTTTTAATTTGAAGGTGTGAAAGAATGCTTTATAGAAATTTAGGTTTATATAGTCTATACTTTGATTACGGGTCCGTTGTAGAAACTTAGGTTAATTAATGTAATCTATGTTTGAATGTATCACTAAATCTAGATCGTGTTTGAGAGGCTCATATGTAGTTTTATAGTTTGTGTTGGGAAGCCTACGTTTATTTTGTATGTGCTTTGTGTGAAAGGATGCCTAACAGAAATTTAAGTTTATATAGTCTATACTCTGATTGTAGTAGGTTCATTAAAAACTTAGGTTAATTACTGTAACCTATGTTTAAATGTGGTTTTAATGCATCACTAAAACTTTGGTTATTGAAACCTAGGTTTATGTAGTTTTATACTTTGTGTTTGAATTTATATGGTTTGGACGTAAATTGTGTTTGTGATGTTTTTTGTTAAGGACAACGGTACCTCTCGTACCCCGAGTATCTTTACAATTRTATGATATTGTCCGCTTTGGGCATAGCCCTCGCGGCTTTGCTTTTGGTTTCATCAAAGATGTGAGACTTTGTTTACACTCCTTACAAATCCAACATTTTTGTCCAATGTGTTTGAATTTGTGTAGGAACTGCAACATAGAAGTATAGGTTTTTATAATCTATGCTCCGATCAAAGGTTTGTTATAGAAACTTCAAATTTATGTAATTTGTGTTTGAAAATTATAAGTTTATGCCCCACGAGTTTAAATTCGTGTAAAATAATGCATTGAAAAAAACCGAGGTGTTTTTGCAGCCTATGTGTTGAATGTGGGTTTGTTAAAAAAAAATTGTGCTTGATATATTTTTTTTCCTTTATATGTAGGACATACTTGAATTGGGTAGAAAATGCATTATAAAAACTTAGGTTTATGTGATTTTGTGTTACTCCAAGATCTACGTTGATGTAATATGTATCTTATTCACGGATTTGGTTACATCCCAAGAGTAAACCAATAACATGAGATCAATGTAATTCTATAAACATAAATTTAGGTAACTCTTAAAATTAGAATAAGTGTATTTTCAAATGTGTGTTAATTAATTGAAGGTGGTTAATTAATTTGCAGGTATCAGCCAGATCCCATAACAGTGGTCACTGCTGGGCCAAGCATGAATAATTTTCTCCCAGGATGGTTGCCTTAAGAAACAAGATGGGAATTTTCTACCATTCAAAAAAAAAAAAAAAAAAGAAAGAAAAAAAAAAAAGTCTATTTTATTTGCTTTCTGTTGTTTTTAAGCCCCCTCCGAAAAAAAAAAGAAAAAAAAAACATTTTTCAGTGCTTGGAACTTATATATATAATTAATACAAACTCTGCACTTTAGTTTTTGTAAGAAAATTATATGTATTTTATGCCATTTCCTCTCTTAGAGATCCAAGACTTTACTTTTTGAACAACAATTGTAATTTGATTATTTTTCTTTTGTCATAAAGTTGTAAGTTTGTGTGTATTTTTTATTTTTCAAGGTTCATGAACAATTGTCTCTCGGGATAGAACGGATATACCGACTTGTAAATGCAGCACTTCACACACATGAACTCACAATATTTAAGTACTCGTACAGAGGAGAAATGAGAGAATTTTGATGGATGATTTTTCTGTATACCAAAACTGAGAAGAATCACATATTTATAGACTATTTGTGGCCATTCAAATAGTCATATCTTTTCATGTAAAGTTATGTCTTTTGATAAAAGGACATAACTTTTACAAAAGACGACGGTTCATGAAAAGTTGTGCTTTTCAATTTTAACAAAAATAAATTTATTCAAAAATTCCAACAATCCACCGCATGAAAATATTTATTTTTTAATAACATGTACGATTACTCATGAAGAATAACTACATCAAGATAAATAGTCTAAGACTTTGAACTTTCCTTAGTAAAACTATGGAGTTTACATAGCCGATCAGTAGTTAAAGAACTTTGAATTGTCAACTTTTTAAGAGTAAATCAAGTCCATAATAATTACATAGATATTCTTCGAAATACTAATGGTTCTCATGTTTGTATTCATTTTGGCCCTGAATACCGTCCGATTTCATGAGTATTTTTAAAGAATTTAGCCTTGAAAATTCTCATAGAAGCGACCCCTTCACACCCACATAGGTGACTTTTTTAAAAAGTATCCTGACAATACCCCACTCTTATAAAAGATCTAAAGAGTCATTAAAAGCATATTTTAACCTCATCCGTTTCCAGGTTAGCACTAATTTTTATAATAGGAACGGTTAGGAATTTATAATTCATTTTCTTATTGCTTCTCTGAGTTGTATATATAATTTTGTTTTCCCTTTTGAACCTAGTTCTTGGGATCTCCAGTCAGCTAGGTTGGGTTACCATTATGTTAACTCTTATATTATAGGCTTCGATACCATTCATATTGTAGACAATTTCACTTGCTCTCTTGCCAAAGCTTTCGTAAGCGGATCCGCAATATTATCCTTTGATTTCACATAATCAATTGATATAATTCCATTAGAGAGCAATTGTCTCATGGTTTTATGTCGAGACTTACCATTATACATTAATTGTTGCACTTAAATTCATATTACATTGAATATGATCCACCTTTGGATTTTGAATCATTAATATAAAAGATCCAATCTTCATCACTTTATCCTCCCGAGTGCAACCTGTCATTTCGGATATTTAAATATCCATATTATAGCCACTTCCCAATAATCTTTTCCAAGATTATTTGAAAATCTTCTAAATTTACTCACTGCATATGGTAAGTATGATCGTAAGCAATTTGTGAGATAATTGGACTGCCAACCACACACAATATTTCAATTGTGAAATACTACAACCAATATCTCTTAGACTAATGGAGGTTTACATCAATGACAGCCTGTTAGGCTTAATCAAGAGTACTTTTCATTTTTGCAAGGCACCTCCACAATTTCAAAATATTTATATGAAGTTATCGTTCCACAACTTCATATGATATTGTCTTGTACTCTCCTCATAAACTATATGTGCATACTTTAAAATATATCATTCATAACAAGACTGTACTAATTGCAAAATTTTGGATATTTAACTATATCCAATTCAATCATTTAAACATGCCGCTAAACTTAATTCCATATAAAATATAAAACTATTACAGAGTAATTACTCAACAAGTAATCACATCCACACTCATTCACAAGAATGCCACCACAACTCTCATGAATCTAGAAACTCGAGATGTGTAGACAGTATATCCAATATTAGAGCATGCGATATATACCAATACCATTTAAGTATATTTGTATATTGTCAACGCAAAATATGGAATAACCCACTAAATCACAATATTTACAAATCTCAATTTTAAGACACTAGATTAAAGATACAAATTTGAGTTGTTTTAGACAAACAACACTTGTGTTCTGTGATTCATACTCAATATAGTATTAAACATAACCAACCATAAAAACCGATGCATATAACAAACACACCGATACGACAAAATTGATTAATTGAATGAAATTACTGGGTACAAATGTTGGTTGAGAAGCACAGATCAATCAAAAACTTTCAATAAACTCACGCCACATGACAAATCAATGAATGCATTTCAGAGCATGAGTATAAAATTGCAAAATATCAATAAAATGTGATTAACAAAATTGAGATCACAACCTTTCTTAACCAGAGAGCGAAATTGTGACAACTTAAATAAAAAATGCATTTGTTTCAAACCACAAAAAAACAATAATGCATAACCGTAGCCAAGATTGGAAACAAAATAAAATATAAAACCAAATTTGTCTTAAAATTGTTGGAAAAAATATGCAAATATAACTTAAGGAAATACAAAATAAACCATCTGAACCCAACGTAGCATTGTTTTCTTAAGACAATTTTGTTCCTTCTACGGTGCTCAAGGTTTCATGAATAATTGTCTCCCAAGATAGGACAGATATACCAACCTGTGAATGCAACACTTCACACAGGACTCAATGAACTCACAGTATTTAAGTACTCGTACAGAGGAGAAAGGAGAGAATTTTGATGGATGATTTTTCTGTATACCAAAACTGAGAAAAATCACATATTTATAGACTATTTGTGGCCATTCAAATAGTCATATCATTTCATGTAAAGTTATGTCTTTTGATAAAAGGACATAACCCCTACAAAAGACGCACAGTTCATGAAAAGTTGTGATTGTTCAATTTTAACAAAAATAAATTTATTCAAAAATTCCAACAACGTCTTTCTTCCAATTCCTCTTGCTATTTTTCTACTGCCTGACATCAAACACAATGCTCTCTTGACTTTTTTGGACAGTCAATGTTGAGTCTAAACTATAAGTAGATTCTTTGCCACTCTTCTTCTACGAATTTTGTCATTAATTGCCGCAGCATAAATTTTTAAAGTTTCAAACATTTGTCTCCTAACAAAGACATCAGTAACAAAATAACTTCATCACGAAAAGTAAAAAATAGCAATTTTTAATGTCTTGGTTATAGGATGAAAAAGTTGTTAGCAAGCATAATTATTAAGAGTAGGAGTAAGTTAAGTTTGCTTGAACACCCGTGTTCCTATAAAATAATATTTAACAATTATTATTATAGACACATAAATTCAACATAAGGTCATGTAATATAAAAAATCAGAATGAGAATCTGAATGAATATTATTTCTTTGGACATTGTTTGTTATAATTTTTCTAGAATTAGAATTAAAAAAAAAAAAAACTCTATTGATGTTATTTCCTAAAACTATTTTGAATCAGAATAAAAATAATATGGTAAAAATTAGGGATAAGTACATCACTGGTCTTATTTTGAGTTTCCAATTACAAAAATGGCTTAACTATTAAGAATTTACACACTTATTAGCTCTCTATAGATGGAAACTAATATTGGGCGGTTTTGATACAATTCAATTGCAATCATGCCTAGATACAAATCCCTAAAACTAATATGGCGGGATTTTGATACAAATCCCGTTATTCATCTTGGCAGTTTTGAGGAAAAGAGATGTTCTTCGATCTTCACGCAGACGATGCACCCGAGCGGTGACAACTCCATGGTAGAAGCACCCAAGCGGCGGCGACTCCACGGTAGAAGCACTCAAGCGATAGCGACCCCACGACAGAAGCTCACGAGTGGCAGCGATCCCACGACAAAAGCTCACAAATGTCTTGCAGGCACAACTCCACRAACATCAGCAACTCGAACAAACGCGCACACACACACGGGGACGATGATATTTGGAGGTGGGTTCATCGTCTGTTAGTGCGCCACCGTCTGCTGCTTGCTGGAGGGGAGATCGTCGCGGCGGTTGAAAACGCAGGGGAGAGGCCTCAAAGCAGATCTCCAAACCTTCGCCCAAAATAGACCCAACTCAAAGATGACGTTTAGTTTAGATCTAGGTCAGGTCTGTTCTATACAAACCTTTGCTTAGAGCAGGTCTATTCGAGTTTCCGTACAAACTCGAACATACATGAAGATGTTCAATTTAGATCTGGGTCAGTTCACAGTTTTTTCCATCATCATCATCTACGGTTTATGTTCTACCTCAAAGCAGATATAAAACCTTTGCCAAAAAAAAAAAAGGTCTGCAACATCAAAAATCCAAAACCCAAAACACAACAGAAGATGAAAACTTACAAACACAAGGGGGACTATGACCAGAATAAGAACTGTGTCATCGAACTTTTTGCAAATATGTGGAGTGCCGAAAATCGTAACCTATCGAACTCCCATTAATGTCGCGCTGCTGCTGGTGGATCTCCGCTAAATGTCTTGCCCATGGCTCTCCATTGAATGGAGAAAGAGGAGGGGATGGAGGGAAGAAACAACAATGCAGTTTTCAAGAGAAGCCCTTGTTTTATTGGGTTAAAACTGACCAAAACCGACCACAAACCCATAGGTAACCTAACCGATTTGGGTTCGAATCAGTTTTTTCGGGTGGGTATTGCGTCCTCACAACTGTGATAGATAAAGTGCAAGTGTACACTATATCCGTCAGTATGAAACGAGGTCGAATCCACTGGAGTTTAGGAAAATATTCTAAACTCCGCTAGAATATACCACAATTACAAAAACAATAAAATATAGATTTTTATGTTAACAGTACCAGCAAAATATCATAAATAAAACAATAAACAATCCCAACGGTAAACACACTTCAAAATGTTGACAGTAGGAAGGAGTTTCAAAACAGAATAGCGAAAATGAGGATAACATATATGGAAAAAGCGGAGGAGACATACATGCTTTCACTAAATTCCAACCTATACTCTAACTTGAAATCAGTTACTAATGTTCAACTCGATATGGTTCCCTTCCGAGACACCCAAACATGGATACCCACAACTCTTGTTGCTAAATACCCAAGCAATAAATATAAGTTTTAAGCTTGATTAGGGGAACTCATTTCTAAGTATTCATGAACCTACCAGAAAAAAGTAGCTAATCACAAATAGAGCAAGTCAGCTGCCTG